GCAGATAGCATAATGGTTACGTCACTGGACTCCCACGTAGTAGACCATGGTTCGAGTTTTAAATCCAGCAACTTAAAACTCACATTGGGTGTGCGTGCGTGCCCAAGATCCCAAGAGAATGGAGAAGTGGACTCCCACGTAGTAGACCATGGTTTGAAATCCAGCGACTTAAAACTCACATTGGGTGTGCGTGCGTGCCCAAGATCCCAAGAGAATGGAGAAGAACTGCAGTATGGCCATCCCTCCTGGGAAGTGATTTCTCGCTGTCTCTCTGTCTTTGTCTCTCCAGCGAGCCCATGGGCCCTATAGCAAAAATCTCTCTTAAAAAAAAAAAAAAAAAAAAAAAACGCGCAGTAAATCCCATGAGGATGGAGAAGGGATGGTGAATGGCCCTCTCTGCTAGGGAGTGATTTCTTGGTTTCTGTCTCTCCTGCCAGCGCACATGCCCTAGAGCAAAAATCACTCTAAAACAAACAAACAAACAAACTCATTTCCCTAATAAAAACAACTAACTTTTACTAAGTAGCTGTAAGGTGCCGGGCACTTACCAGGCATGATTTCATCTAATCTTCCTTATGACTCTATGAGCTTGCATTATTGTTCTAATTTAAGATAAGAAAACTGATGCTCAGAGAAGTCTTGGGAATTTTCCCCAAGGGTTCTAGCAAATGGTGAAGCCCAAACTCCAGCCCACATTTGCTTGGTTCTTTCTCCAAGTGCCTCACTAAGATAAAAGGGATTCAGGGCTTGTGTGAAGTAGGGTTAATCAGCTCAAGAGGGAGATCTAGAGAAATTGAGCCGCTCAGAATGATCAGTTCCTGAGGTTCCAAGAATCTTTAGATACCATTTGGGACAACTGGCACATATATCTGACAGATGACAAAAATTAGGGTCAAGAGGGGAAGTAATTTGTCCAAGGTGACACAGACCGAAGTAAAATGAAGCCTACAGTTACTAAGTCCTTACTAAGGACCAGGTACTGAACTGAGTGCATTTAATTAGAATGATCCCAACCAATCCCTGCAACCTTGACCTAGGTACAACTACTCCTATTTTACCAGAGAGAGGGTATAGTCACTTGTCCCATGTCACACAGCAAGTACACAGGTCCAGTCCAGGTCCCTATTCTCTCCTATGCCACATGGTCTACTCTGAGTGGGAGTTGGAGAATTTGAGGGTCATGGATGAGATGTGGAGGAAATGAACGCTTTGCCCTAAAAATTCTAGGGCCAGCAGCGTGGCAGCAGTTCCGTTGCTGGACTCCCAGACGGCCAATCACAGTTCGAGCCCCGAAAGCGGAGGAATGTGCCCTTTGTGTGTGTGTGCCCAAGATCCTAAGAGAATGAAGAAGAGACTGCAGTGTGGCCACCCCCACCCCATTCCGTCTCTCTCTCCAGCGAGCCCACGCGCCCTAATGAAAAAGCCTCTACCGAAAAAAAGAAAAAAATCAGAATCTGGACTACGAAATCCTGTCCCTCCATCGCCACTTGCTCTAACCCTTTCTTCCTACCATATGGGAAACACAAGGCTCAGGGGAAAGGGGCTTGTTTGCCACGGCCCAGCCATGACTATGAACGCAAGAGCCCAATTCGAGGCCCAGGCGCCCCGTC